ATGTAACAACTCCATCACTGAGCTACACCAGTAGGCCCAACACTGTTTTTACTATTTATTCTGTGGTGCTGAGATAACACTATTAATTTTTAAACCAGCATGTTACAGAATATCAAAAGCAACATGGTCCTTAATTTTTAAATTTTTAAAAAATCTTTATTTATTTATTTTTATGTGGTGCTAAGTATCACACCCATTACCTCACACATGTGAGGCAAGTGCTCCACCACTGAGCCACAGCCCAAGCCCATAATCCAGTCTTTTTTTTTTTTTTTTAATTTTTTAATACTTATTTTTTAGTTTTCGGCAGACACAACATCTTTGTTTGTATGTGGTGCTGAGGATCGAACCCGGGCCACACGCATGCCAGGCGAGTGCACCACCGCTTGAGCCACATCCCCAGCCCCAATCCAGTCTTGATATAGTTAAAATGAATCTAAGACTTCCTCTGAATTTACAAAGCTCCAGAAAAGGATTGATTGTTCTTCATAAAAAATAAACTAGGTCTTCTTTTTTTTTTTTTTAAGTTGTCTATAGACTTTTATTTTATTTATCAAATGCAGTGCTGAGAATTGAGCCTAGTGCCTCACACATGCCAGGCAAGTGTGCTACCGCTGAGCCCCAGCAACAGCCCCAAACTCTATCTTCCTAATGAATGTTTTCTTTTATACAAATACCAAAACTCTTTAACAAAAACAACTTCCTGAAAAACTCTCAGTGGAATTAAAATCTATCATAATCCTGAAATATATTCATCTTCCTCAATAAATTAAACACAACTACAAGTTAAACATTACTATATGCAGAGATTTAGATCCTCAAAGGCTTAATTACCTTTTTGAAAAAAAATTATTATGGTAATAATACATGACACAAGATGTATCCTTTTAGCAGATTTTTAAGTATACAATACAATATTGTTCATTATAGTACAGATATATCACTATGCAGTAGATCTCCAGAATTTAGTACTTACTCTAGTTTTATCAAACAGTTCTGAAACTTTGAGGAAAAACCTGGAAGGGAAAAATATTTTCATCAGAAGCTACATTTGAAATAATTTCCCACATCAGATATTTACAGAATATGTTCCCAAACCATTTCATTAATGAGCATTATTGTTTCCTAATATAAAAAATTCAATGGTCTTATTAACTGGAGACTTCATTTAGTTCAGGAAAAACCTCCTATACTTCCACCAATATAACACATTACTTGAAATCTGTTACAGGAAATTTCCCCATTTCATTTCAAGACACAATCTAAGCCATATACCAAACTTAAAATTTATCTTGATATTCCTTCAAGTAATATATCACATAATACTAAATAGAGGCTGTACTTTCAACATTATTACAGAAATACAAAGCAATTACACTGAAAGAGACAAAAGGTTGACTGACAGTACTGAAGCTGGAGAACTTCTTAAAGTTACTGGAGAGTTATGTTTTACATTTTTGATACTGTAATTGAATCCAGGGGTACTTTACCACTGAGCTACCTCTCCAGTCCTTTTTATTTTGCAACAGACTCTCACTAAGTTGCTGAGGATCTCACTAAGAGGCTGAGGCTGGGTCTCAAACTTGGGATCCTCCTGCTTCAGTCTCCTCTGAGTTTCTGGGATTACAAGCATGTGCTACATGCTCAGTGATAGTTTTATTTTAAACATTTTCAAATATAGCTACTTTGTTTTGAAAAGTAATGAAAATGAACAACCAATTCCTAGCTCAGAATTAATTTTCCCTTTACTAAACAGTCTGTCAAATGCTGATATCAATTAAAAACTATCTCGCCTGGCATGGTGGGCTCACCTATAATCCCAAGTGGTTGAGAGGCTGAGGCAGGAGGATATCAAATTCAAATGAGCCTCACTAATTTAGCAAGGCCTTGAGCAACTCAGTGAGACCCTGTCACTAATAAAATATAAAAAAGGGCTGGGGATATGGCTCAGTGGTTAATCGCCCTTGGGTTCAACCCCTGGTACCAAAACAAAACAAAACAAAAACCAAAAAACAGTATCACAGGGACTAGGTTTATAGCTCAATGGTAGACTGTATGTTCAGCATATTCAAGGCCACGTGAAACTATTAAAAAGCATTCTGTAAAATACATAATCATAAATGGCATGATAATTGGATTAGGGCAAACTACAGAAAGCAAAACCACAATTTAAGCCAGGTGCAGTGGTGCACACCTGTAATCCCATTGGCTTGGGAGGCTGAGACAAGAAGATCAAAGCAAGCCTCAGCAACCTTGAGAGCCTAAGCAACTCAGTGAGACCCTGTCTCTAAATAAAGTACAAAATAGTGCTGGGGATGTGGCTTAGTGGTGGAGTGCTCCTGAGTTCAATCTCTGACACCCCTCCCCTCCCCGCCAAAAAAACACACTATTTAATAAACTTTGTTTTACTGAACACAACTTGCCTTAACAGATTGTTTGATAGCATGGCAAGGTTTATTTTTTTCTTCTTATCAAAGACTTAAGTATTAATTCTTCACATGTCTATAATTCCAGCAACTTGGGAGGCTGAGGCAGGAAGATCAATTCAAAGTCAACCTCAGCAACTTTGTCTCAAAATTAAAAAAAAAAAAATAATAAAAGGGTTGGGAATATAGCTCAGTGACAGAATGCCTCTGGGTTCAATCCCTAGTACAAGAGAAAAAAAATTTTAACTCTTTGGCGAGATAGAATCTTCATTATTGTAAGTTATGATCTCTTGCTTTGTTCCAAATATTGGCCCTTAAATGTGTACTAAACACATTTAGAGAAGAGGAAAGTTCAAGAATATGTCTTGAAAAAAGAAATGAATTATGAAACATTGTTTTAAAATGTATTTGAAAAAAATAAATAAATAAAATAAAATAAAATGTATTTGATCTAAGTGTTGTGGTGCATGCCTCTGGCTATTCCAGAGACTAAGGCAGAAGAATCACAAGTTTGAAGTCAGCCTCAGTAACTAAGCAAGATTCTGTCTCAAAATACAAGAAATAAAACAGCTAAGGTTTAGGGACTGGGGTTGTGGCTCAGCGGTAGAGCGCTTGCCTAGCACCTGCGAGACCCTGGGTTAGAGCCTCAGCACCACATTAAATAAATAAATAAATAAAAATAAAGGTATTGACAACTACAACCAAAAAATAAATATTCAAACCAAAACAAAACAAAACAAAAAAAAAAAAAAACAGCTAAGGCTGGGCCAGTGGCGTACACCTGTAATCCCAGTGGCTCAAGAGGCTGAGGCAGGAGGATTGTGAGTTCAAAGCCAACCTCAGCAACAGCAAGGCACTAAGCAACTCAATGAAACCCTGTCTCTAAATAAAATACAAAATAGGGCTGCGGATGTGGCTCAATGTTTGAGTGCCCCTGAGTTCAATCCTTGGTCCCCGCCCCACTCCCAAAAAAACAGCTGGGAATGGAGCTCGATGGTAAAACCCTTGCCTAGAATGCACAAGTCGCTAGGATCAATCCCCAATATCATAAATAAATAAATAAGCAAACAAATATATATTTGAATTATTTTTCAATAAACAAGTAATATTATAGGAGCAACTAAAATTAACTAGTTAAAACAACTAGCATAAAGTCAATAAAGAATCCCAAGTTTGAGGCCAGGCTCAGCAACTTAGTGAGGCCCTAAAGAACTTAGCAAGACCCTGTATCAAAATAAAAAAATAAAAAGGGTGTGGATGTAGCTCAGTGAAGTGTCCCTGGGTGCACTTCCTTCCCCAGTATGGAAGGAAAAAAAGTCCAAGCTCCAATGAAATACACACACACACACACACACACACACACTCACCCCAACTCCTGTATATAAAATTTCAAAATAACATTTATTATTTATGATAAACAACACTAAAAAATTCTCTAATACATAAATATCCCACTTTCATCTAACAGAAGATTGTAAATACTAAAACTACATACTAAAGCTTATTTTATTTTTCAGATTTAAAAAATATTAGATAAGAAAAAATGAATCAACTCAAGTTTATAAAAACATTTCTTATTATCAATGCTTTGACAAAAATATTCCAAAATGCCTGCCTAGAGATTACAAGTATGCCAACAAATTATTTTGCTTATATCTAATAATGTTTTTAATTAGAATCCTTACTTGCATATATCTGTAGAATCCTGAGTTCCTAAAGCATATAATGAAGAACCAATTCTATTGTAATCATCTGCAGCACCTATGGAAAAAGTTTCAAAAATATATTTGGTCATTAATTTAAAAATACTGACTGAACAGCTATCTGCAAGAGATACACCAAATCAAGTAAAGGAAATAACACAAACAACCATAACAATTCAGTGGATATTATATTGGGTATATGTGAAAACTGCTTTAAGAACAGAGGAAACAGATGATTCCTACTTCAGTAAGTCAAGAAAGGATTTACAAAACTATAGAATGAGCTGGAGTTTGTATGATGAGCAAATCTTTACCAAACAAAAGGATAACATTTTGCATAAAGGGAATAAGAGAAATACATATCATAAAGAAGAATAGTATATTCAAAGAGCCTGGGGTGGGACTGCAGGATGCATAGGGGAGTGAATGGAATAAAAGATCATATAGGCCATGATAAGAGTTTAGATTTGATCTTGTGACAATGGATCTTATTGAACATATTTATGTCATAGTAGTGGTAAACTCCACCTGAGAAGGATTTTAGATATTAAAAAATTCTGTGGAGAAAAATAAAGCAGGGTGACCAACCAGCAAACTGTTCCAATAATCTGATATCAAACCTCTGAAACTGTGAGCCAAAATAAACTTTTCCCCTCTAAATTGTTCTTGTCAGGTCTTTTCGTCACAGTGATGAAAAGCTAACTGAAACAGTAACTGAAACTGGCCAGCTGGGATCCAGGCAGGTTTCCTGGCTTGGTTATTGGTAACAGAAACCCTCACAAAAGAATGACACAAGAACAGAAGTAGCCAAGCCAGAGACTTCTTTTCTCCTGTTACTATAAAATGGAGGTTAATGATTCTAAGTACTCACTCTATTGACTTGACCCTATTTCGGAGGTTATCCAAATTTTGATCTTAGGATTCCTTTACATTCTTAAAAATTACTGAGGAATCTGAAGAGCTTCTTTTTACATGTGTTATTATCTATCAATATATACTGTATATTTTTCAAAAATGTAAAACAAAAATTTTGAACATTTAGTAATTTATTTAAAATTAATAGCATTAGGGCTGGAAATGTGGCTCAGAAGTAAAGTGCTTCTTAGCACATGTAAGGCACTGAGTTCAATTCCCAGCACCACAAAACATAAATAAAAGGAAAAAATAAAATTAACATACCACTGAGCTACATTTAAACCCAGCCTGTTTAAACCCATATTTACATAAGTAAACTTTCAAATGAAAAAGAGCTATTTTTTAAAAAATTAGGGAGCAGCATGACAACATTACATTTTTATATATCTCTGTTGTACCTGGTTCAATAGACAATAGATTCTCATTATCTGCTTCTGCATTCATTCAATCTGCTTTTCATTCGATCTACTATGATAATACTGCTTTTAAGTATGTGGGGGGAAAAAATCCAGCCTACACGGATATATAACTAGAAAAGGAAGAGGTATTCTACTAACCTTTTCAAATAATCATGGATATTCTTCTTTATTATTACACCAAACTCAATAATTACTTGTAATGTGGACTCTAAAATCATTATCAATGAAATTCTTGTTGTTGTTTTTTTGCAGTACAAGGAATTGAAATCAGAAGCACTTTACCAGTGAGCTACTCCCACTTCTTCTTCTTCCCCCCCCCGCCCCGCCCATTTTGAGGGAGAGTCTTGCTAAGCTTGTGAAACTAGCCTCAAATCTGTGGTCCTCCTACCTGAGCATCTTGAGTAGCTGGGATTATAGGCATGTGCCACCATGGACAACTTAATACACTTCTTATACTTATAAATTAAAACCCATTAGTATGCCAGGTACACACTACACACTACAAACTTAGTAAAGTTGCAATCCACAGATTCAATGCAATTCCAATCAAAATACCTATGGCATTCTTCACAGAACTACAAAAAACAGTCCTAAAATTCATACGGAACCTCCCCGACACACACACACACACACACACACACACACACACTGAATAAACAAAGATATTTTGAGGGAAAAAAGCAAGCAGGACACAATATGCTGACTTCAAAACAGAGTACCAAGCTTAGTAATTAAACTGATAATATTAGCAATAAATACAGACACACAGACCAATGCAAGAGAATAGAGCCTAGACACAAACTCATGGATTTACAGTCAGTCATCTGACTTTTGACATAGGTGCTAAGAAACACATTGAAGAAAGAGCCATCTTTTAAATAAATGGTGCTGGAAAAATTGGATATTTATATCCAGTAGAATAAAACTAGACCCCTACCTCTCATCAGTCAAAAAATGAATCCAAAATAGTTTAAAGACTTATATAAACCTGAAACTATGAAACCACCAGAAGAAAATACAAGGGAAATACTTTAGGACATCAGAATAGGTAAAGATTTAGCAAGGCGCAGTGGTGCACACCTGTAATCCCAGAAGCTTGGGAGGCTGAGGCAGGAGGATCACAAGTTCAAGGCTAGCTTCAGCAATGTAGAGAGGCCCTAAGCAGCTTAGTGAGACCCTGTCTCAAAATAAAAAAACTTTTTAAAAAGGGGTGGGGATGTGGCTCAGTGGGTGCCCCTGGGTTCAATCCCTGGTATCAAAACAAACAAACAAACAAACAAAAAACCCCAAAAAAACTAGGCAAAAATTTTTTTGAGAAAAACCCCCAACATACAGGAAATAGAGAAAAACAAACTTGTGGGACTGTATCAAAAAAAAAAAAGCTGCACGGCAAAGGAAATAATAAAGAGACAATCTGAAGAATGACAGAAAATATTTATAATATGTATATTTGATATTGATATCTAGAATACATAAGGAACTCAAAAATTCAATAGCCAAAAAAGAAAAAAAAAAAAAGGATTAACCTAATTAAAAAATGTGTAACATGGGCTGGGGTTATAGCTCAGTGGTAGAGCACTCACCACACAAAAATAAATAAATAAACTAAAAATAAATAAATAAACTAAAAAATAATAAATATTTTTTAAAATGTGCAACTAACCTAGACAACTAAAAATAAATATTTTTTAAAATGTGCAACAAACCTAGACATTTGTTAAAAGACAACATATAATGGCCAAGAGGTATATTAAGAAATGTTCAATAGTGCCAAGCATTATGGCACACATCTGTAATCCCAGTTACTTGGGAGGCTAAGGCAGGAAGATAACAAGTTCATGATCAGCCTGGGCAACTTAGCAAGACCTTGTCTCAAAAAAGGGCTGGGGCTGAAGATGTGGCTCAGTGGTAGAAAACTTGCCTACTGTGCCTGAGAACCTGGATTCAACCCCAGTATTGCAAGGAAAAAAAAAATTCAACATAACTAATCACCAGGAAAATGTAAATCAAAGGTAAAAGCTAGCGACCTATGAAGAAAAGAAAATACTTGCACACTGTGGTGGGATTATTAAGTTAGTAAAAGTCATTACAGAAAACAATATGAAGAATCCTTGAAAATTATAGTAGAACTACCATATGATCCAACAATTCTATTACTGGGGATAAATCCCAAAGAAGTGAAATCAGAATTCTGAAGAGACATCTGTATTCCCATGTTCATTGCAGCACTATTCACAATAGCCAAAAATTGTAAACAAGGGGTTGTAGCTCAGCAGTAGAACGCTCGCCTAGCATGTGCGAGGCCTTGGGTTCAATCCTCAGCACCACATAAAAATAAATAAATTAAATAAAGGTATTGTGTCCAACTACACCTAAAAAATAAATATTAAAAAAACTGTAAACAAGATAACCATCAATCAACTGATGAATGAATGAAGAAAACATGGTAAATAAAAATAGAATAGTGTTCAGACATAAAACCCTGACATCTGCAATAATGTGGATGGAACTGGAGATCATCATATATGAAAGGAGAAGTTTCGTTGTCGGAGATTAAAATGCACACACACAGATAGCAGTGACAAGATGAAGCACTTTACTGCAAGCTGGTGCTAGTTTATATAGAAAGTGAGAGTCAGTTATCTTAAACCAGGAAGCTCCGGGGGCCAATCATAGTAAAGGTCAGATCATCACCTATGGTGCACGCACGTCCACCCTGCATAAGATTCATGGGGGGCATGAGCTGTCCACGATCACAGAAGATGGGAGGACCAATTAGAAAATTTTCAAAACAACTTGTTATCCGCCCACTGGCAACTTGCCTGCCGCCATGTTGCATTAGGGGCTCCTTATCTGAAAGGCCCAGGGAGTTCTAGCCGCCCACTGGCAATTTGCCCACCGTCATGTTTGAAAGGCCTGGGGAGTTCTCAAGGAGACTCCCAACAATATATACTGAAATAAGCCAGGCACAGAAAGACAAGTACATGATCTCACTCATATGTAGACACTACTCATAGAAGTTGAGAGTAGAACAGTGATTATCAGAGGCTAAGGAGAGAAGGGGGAGGGAATAATGATAAAAGGTTGATCAATGGGTATTAAGTTGTAGTTAGGAGCAAGGCGGTCCTTTTCTCCCCATATTTTTTATTAGGAGAAAGAAGTTCTGGTGTGCTACTACACAGTAGGGTGGCAAAAGGTAAGAATAAGGTACATTTCAAAAAGCTAAAGAAAAGATTTTAAAGTCTTCACCATAAAGATAATAAATGTTCAGAGACAGATGTTTAATGTGGTTTAAATATTATACAATGTGCCTATATTAAAATGTCACTTAATACTGCATTAATATACATAATTTTTATGTTTTTATGTATTAGTTAAAAAATAATGCTAATAAAAAAAGACTGACAAGGATGTGGAGCAACTGAACTCTCACGTCACTGCTCTTGGAAATGCAAAATGGGATAATCATTATGAAAAAAGTGCCAGTTTCCTAAAAAGTTAAATTTGCATCCATGCAAAGAGACATGCAGGTGGATAATGTAATAGACACAAGTTAGAAATGACTCAAATGTTCACCAATAGGCAAATGAACAAATGATTATGTTGGCATATCCATACAATAGAATACTATTCGGTATAAAAAAAAAAACAAAAAACAAAACTCAACAATAAAAAGTATACACTAGGGCTGGGGATGTGGCTCAAGCAGTAGCGCGCTCGCCTGGCATGCGTGCAGCCCGGGTTCGATCCTCAGCACCACATACAAAGATGTTGTGTCCGCCGAGAACTAAAATAAAAATATTTTTTAAAAAAAATTCTCTCTCTTTAAAAAAAAAAAAAAAGTATACACTAAAGGCCACTTTCAGGGGTTATGGATACATGTTCACAATTTTTACTAGATTAAACTGTACACTTTGACACCAAATCTTATAAATACTAATTATAAAAAAAATACTAAATATACTCAAATAAGCTGTTCATAAACCTCATTGATCTATCTTGTACTTTGAATGAATCTTTTATATACACAATTTGTGGCATTATGCCCTGGTTGTTTGGGAAATCTGTTAGTTGTTCTTACAAGTAAATATGGTATTCCATGGAAAAAGCACTTAGTTCAGTCACAACTCAACAGTATTTAAAATGCTCTTCCAGAGAGAATCATAACATTTTAGTATGCAAAGTGCTTTATAGATATTTCCCATTTTATCACTCAATATTTAAAAAATGTGAACTCTGGGGTGGAGATTTGTTATAATTTTTGCTGCTACATCAAAGTTACATTTTTAGAAAATTGTAAGTCATGGCAGGAAAAACTACAGTGACTATTATTAGTAAAGTCTGATGCTACTGCCTTGATTTGTATATACTAAGGCACAAAGAGTTTTATCCATTTTTTCCTTTGCATCATCAGTGTAAATGTCAGAATGGTGAAAAAGGCAAAAAAGTATCTACAGTATTTTTATGAAAATAATTTTGGACCTTGCAGACTCACTTGGGGTCTAAGCTTCAATAGACCACAGTTTGAGAACCACTGTTTCATATCAAGACTTTTACAAACTCTAAGTAACAAGTCAGCCTTATTATTATTATTCCATTAAAAATTTCAAGCTAAAGCCACACACACACACACACACAAAAAAAAAAAGTCTTACTTTTGTGGGATCTTGTCATCCTATCAGACTTAGCAGACGCATCCTTAACTCGGTTATGATATTCTAAAAGGAAAGTTCGTTCATGCTCAAAGAAATCATCTACATCCTATAGAATCAAAAGAAAATATGAGCTTTTTTCACTTATTTTGCTTTAGTATGATATAGAAATAACTTTGTCAACATTATAAACATACAAAGATTATCAGGAAAACAGCACAGCTATATCCTCTAAAAATCAAGAGTTTAAAATCGATTTTATGAACATATTAAGACTTTAATAGACATGCATTTCTTTCTTTGTTTTGGGATTTTTTTTTTTTTTTTTTTGAGAGGGAGGGACTTGCTTGCTATGTTGTCCAGAATGGCCTCAAATTTGTCATCATCCTGTTTTGGTCTCCTAAGTAGCTGGGATTACTAGCATGTACCACCACACCTACCTTAAGTATCTGGCTTACCTTTCTATCAAGTAAGACATCTAGGGTTGGGGCTATGGCTCAGAGGTAGAGCACTCGCCTACCATGTGTGAGGCGCTGGGTTCGATCCCCAGCACCACATACAAATAAAATAAAGATATTGTGTCCACCTATAACTAAAAAATAAATATTAAAACAAAAGATATCTATAGTTTTGTAGCTGAAGGCTCAGAGATCCTCTTATGGTTCACTTTCCCATGTTTTACTCTGAAACGTGTTCCTACTTGTGCTCTACTTCAACAGACACCTTAATGCCAGTGGGAGTGATCAATTGTTTTTCAGAAAAAGAAAAATTCTGTCACTAGAAGTAAACATTGATTTTCTTGGTCTAACAGACAATCTATGAGCTATTCTGTGGCTTCCACACCTTACTCATTAGGGCTGACTGCTCTGGGGAAACTGGCCAAATTACCTATCTGGGAGCAATGATATGATTAACCACTGTAGTCAATCTTTAAAAAAAAATAAAGCCATGTATACATGAGAAGTGAAAAATCATATATTCACAGTACTTTTACCCCTTCTAAACTAGCAATGTTTCATTGGAAAAATATCAGTTAATAATGTGAGACTTACATCAATAGAACACAAGCAGCAAGAGTTAGTATTGACAAAAATGTTTAAAAATCTTTAATTCATATATGCTAGTTTTAACTATCAACATGGTAAAAAAAGGCAAAAAGTATCATAATAATTTTATGAAAATGGTTTTGACCTTGAAGACTTGCTTTAAAAGGGTCTTGGGGGCTGGGGTTGTGGCTCAGGGGTAGAGCACTCGCCTAGGATGCATGAGGCACTGGGTTCTATCCTCAGTACCACATAAAGTAAAATAAAGACATTGTGTCCACTTATAAAAAAAATAAATAAAAATAAAAGGATCTTGAGGTCTAGGTTTCAGTACACCACATTTTGAGAACTAGTGTTTTATATCAAGACTTTTATAAACTGTAAGTAAATAATTAATTTAATAAATAATTAGCTTTCTAAGTATTATTACACATATTATCTTATTCAGTCTTTTCAATAATTCTGTGAGCTAGGTCATATTATTAACCCCATTTTGGAAATGGAAAAAATAAAATTCAGAGAAAGAAACTTTCCCCAAGAACATATAGCAGCAGAAGGCAACACTAAAACTTCAAATGAGATCTTCTAACTTCAAATCTGATTCTAGGTCTATCTCTTAATATTTGCAAGGCTAAGCTAAGGGCAAGTGTAAAAACATTTGCAGCCCCTCTTCTTATTCCACCCTACAGCTCTAACCTATACCTAGAGGGTCCTTGGGCATATACAGGTGAACATTTCAACCTGCACACTGATCTTTTCCCTTGCCCCTCCCCTTTACTTAGCTGCCCTACAATCACCCCTTCACCATCCATGAAATGCACAGCAGCAGCACAGCTGGGGAGAAGACATCTATGCAGAACCTGGAAGGTGGCTTTGGATTTGGGCAAGGAAACACGGGAGTTGAGATATCTGCAACATGGTCTTTATTGTAAAGAAGTAACTCCAGATGGATAAATCTCCTGGACTGCAGACTTCTCACTCCTTGGAGAAAAGAACTCACTAAAGAGAGCCAGGGTAGGGACACAATTTCCCAGGCCTAAGGATTCTATTGTCCAAATTCTTACTCTAATTCTGAACATACAAAATCTCAATCTATTTCCCTTTCAAAAGAAGTAAATTCGGTCTGGGGATACAGCGCAGCTGGTAGAATGCTTGCCTTGCATGCACAAGGCCCTGGGTTCAATCCCCAGCACCACAAAAATAAATAATTAAATAATGAAAGAAGCAAATTTTCAACCAATTACACTGTTAATCAAGTCTTACCTTTACTCCTGAAACAATTACTCCATCTGCTGATTTAACCATGTTTTTAAAGAAATCTTCAAGTTTCTCTTTTTTATTTTTTCCTCGCACACTCAACTGAAGAAAGGTAATTACAATTAGCATTTTTTTAAGGTTACAAATGCAAAGTAGTATGTCTTTTATCTTAGACATTTAACTTATAATCTCAAAAGAATCCCAAGTTTTTAAACTTAAAATGGAAATTTCATCATGTGTATTAACAGTTTTCAAACTTTAGGGCATAAAAGAGGATTTTAAGCTAGGCATGATGGTACACACCTATAATCCCTATAGGCTTCTGCTGTGTCTATAATACTTACGGGAGTGAGGTGGGAAGACAGCAAGCTCAAGGCCAGACTGAGCGACTCAACAAGATCATGTCTCAAAATAAAAAAGGGCTCAGTGGTAGAGTGTTCCTGGGTTCAATCCCTAGTACTAAAAAGTTTGGTAATAACTCCAGCCTTACTCTAAAAGATTCAGGTGGACTACAATAAGGTCTAGATAAGTCCAATTTTACAAGCATATTTGATAATTCTGTTATAAGTAGCCCTTTCACCTTACTTTGTCAAGTACTATATATAATACAATAACAATAAAAATTTAACTCAGGGGCTGGGGTTGTGGCTCAGTGGTGAGTGCTTGCCTAGCATGTGTGAGGCACTGGTTCGATTCTCAGCACTACATGCCAATAAATAAATAAAATTAAAAATCCATCAATAACGAATAAAAATGTTTAAAAAAAATTAACTCAGGAGTCCTTTTAAACATGAAATTTACTGAGGTAAAATATATCATCATATGATTCTGTAATACCTCTGAAAATATATTCTGCAAATTTCTCACTCTGAACTCATCCAAATATCAACTCTTTATCCTGTGTTGGGTGTCAGCAACTCATAGTATAAGAAACACAAAAGATGACTTTGAATGGATGAATGGTCATCCAAGAGTAAAAGTGAGAAGCAGCTAACTCTTTTTGACTCCTAGTGCTTGCTGCATCAAGGTGCCCTATAAAGCAACACACCATCTAATTTCCTTACACATTGCCATGACTTCAATGCCCATAAGACTTAGACATCTTGAGTAATAACTACCATAACTGATCCGGAGTAACCCTAGTTGGTTGAGGGCTATATGGAACCTTATGACTAGACTCTGGCTCTAAGGAATGTGCCTGACTCTTTAATATTAGAGCTTAAGATTAAAGAGGTATATTCTAGCTAAGATGAAGTCACTTTTGTCCTAACTTATATATACACATATCCTTCTAACCCAAATTGTGTGGATCCAACTGGTCATGTTGCTACCTTGAACCACACTTTTAGCAAGACCTCTAAAACTGCATTCTGCAATCCTAGATCTGTCTGCCTCTTTCTCCCATGACACACTGGGGCCAGTTACCATACACTAAGACTGAATTGTTCTTCAAGCTGACAGAGAACATCTATAAAAAGTCCACAACTGGGCTGGGGTTGTAGCTCAGTGGTTGAGCACTTGCTTCACATGCGTGAGGCACTAGGCTCGATCCTCAGCACCATATAAAAAATAAACAAATAAAACAAAGATATTGTGTCCATCTACAACTAAAAAAAAAAAAAGAGTCCACAACTAACATCATCTTTAAGGGTGCAAGGGTGAATGCTTTCCCCTTAACATCAGGAAAAAGGAAAGGATGTCTTGCTTTTGCCACTTCAGTTAACAATGTCCTAGAAATTCTAGCCAGGCAAGTTAGGCAGGAAAAAGATATAAAAGATAACTAGAAAATAAGAAGCAAAAATAAAATATAAAAGTTAATAAATGAGTGTGGCTGCCAAGGTGGTTGATCATTATGGGGAACATACGAAGTTTAGGAATTTGATTTCTGATTGTTTTCCACTTTCCTGAAACCAAGGTTATCATCTGATCAAGAGAAACTGATGTGAGTTGAAATTCGCTATTACAGAAAATGAAAAGATGGAAGTTTGTTATAAATGATAGGGAAAGTACTCTAGATGAGAGAAAGGTACACAGGAGAACTGCTAACAAGAGTCAAAATGAAGTCAATGGTCTTGATGTATGAATGACTAATGGAAATAGGAAGAAGAGAACAGACAAAAGTCTGTTCAGAGTCTGTAATACTAAGGCAATGAAAAGATCCTATGTGTGCCTACTGATTGAGGTAGTTTATTTAATGGAAGTTAGGGGATTAAATATATTATGCTCTGTTGGCTGGGGACTTAGCTCAGTGACAGAGCACTTACCTACCATGCATAAAGTCCTAGGTTCCCAGCACTACCCAAAAATAAATAAATAAATAAATATCCAGCCCAGCTTGGTGGCCCATACATGTAACCCAGCAGCTCAAGAGGCTGAGGCAGAGGATCACAGATTCAAATCCAGCCTCAGCAATTTAGCTAGGCCCTAAGCAACTTAGGGAGACCCTGTCTCAAAATAAAAAATAAAAAGGAATGGGGATGTTGCTCAGTGGTTAAGTGTCCCTGGGGTCAATCCCTGATACAATTAAAAAAAAAAAAAATCTGTTGTTAAACAGACTCAAGACTATTCCCCACTGGATAAGTAAAGCAAATTAAAGGCTATTATTTCTCATAACAGTGGCCCTTTCTCAATTAAATACAAGAACAAGGCTTTCTAGGTCTCCCCCTAAGTCCCATGGCCCTGTGATACTTCAACTGTTCATCTGTCCACTCTGTAAACAATTAAAGAACATTTTCCAGTCCTTTTTTTCTGGGGTGAGGTCGAGTGGTAGGATTGAACCTACAGGCACTTTGCTACTAAGCTACATTCCCAGCCATTTAAATTTTTTATTTTAAGACAGGGTCTTGCTAAGTTGCTTTGAGCCTCACTAAATTGCTGAGGCTGGCCTGAAACTTGCAATCCTCCTGTTTCAGCCTCCAGAGTTGCTGGGATTACAGGCATGCACCATCGCACTAAGCTCCAGTCCATCTTTTTAGGCTTTCTCCAAAACACCACTTGCTGATATTAAAAGAGTTATTATGGGGCTGGGGTTCTGGCTCAGTGGTAGAGCACTCACCTAGCATGTGTGAGGCACTAGATTCAATCCTCAGCACATAAAAAAAAAAAAAAAAGTATGAATAAAATAAAGGTACCATGTCCAACTACAACTAAAAAAATATTTTAAAAAAGGGGTTATTAGAATATATCAACCTCCTTACTAAGTGTGTATGTGCCAATATACACACACACATACACATACGTATACATATACATATATACATATGTGTGTATATATATGCACACGTGCATGCGCACACGTGCACACACACACACACAAATACATTTTTTAAGCAAGGTCTCACTAAATTGCCAGGCTGACCTTAAACTCAAAATCCTCAGCCTCAACCTCTTGGGTAGTTGGGATTATTGGCATGCATCACTATGCCTGGCATGTTTGTTTAAATGCTTGTTTATAAGGAAAAAATAATAAATAAATTTGCTTTGGTGTAAGAAAATGTATGAACCCCGAAGCTTTCTGAAAGCACCCAGAGATGCTTCACCATCAAGCTACATCCCTAGACTTTATTTATTTATTTATTGAGATAGGGTTTCACTAAATTGCTGAGTGTAGCCTTGAACTTAATGTATAATTTATATTTACTAAAACCAAACCAGAAAAGTAAGCTTATATTCGCAAAATTCTTTAATCCTGATGTTAACTTGTAATCAAATTAAGCACTATCCTACATGTTTTCCATAAAAGCTATGAATTAGTCTTGTCATCTAAATATAAGTTCTATGACAAGTATCAACTATCTACTAAAATAAAATTTTGCCAGCACTATGAATAAAGAAATCTTTAGCTTGCTCTGCTTCCCAGCTGCCATAAAGTAAGTAACTTTCCCTTGCATGCCCTTCCACAATGATGCTGTGCCTCCATTCATTCCCAACGCAATGGTACCAACCAACCACAGACTGAAACCATGAGCCAAATAAATTTTCCTCCTCTTAGAACTTTACCACTGAGTTACATAACCAGCCCTTTTCTATTTTTTTTTTTTTTATTTTGAAACAGGGTTTTGCTAAATTGCTTAGGGACTCACTAAGTTGCTGAGGCTGGTCTTGAACTTATGATCCTTCTGCATCACCCTCTCAAGTCACTGGAATTACAGGTATGCACCACCATGTCCAGCCATAATCTAGAATTTTTTAGCTCAAGAACCTCCCTGGAATTCTCCACAAAGCTTCAGAAGGCCCAAATTCAAATTTAAAAACAGTAATCAATTTGATAACCCTATTCTATCTTCCGTGTGTGTGTGAGATAATGAGGATTGAACTCAGGGCCTCCGGCATGTTAAGCAAGTGCTCTACTACTAAGCTACATCTCCAGCCCACTTTATTTCTTAAGTTCACTATTCAGGATGAAATATCAGTATCAACTTGATAAAAGTACAGGGTGACTTTTATCAAAATACTTGGAAACACAGCGTTTCAGATTTTGGAGTTTTTTGAATTTGGGAATATTTGCACAGATTTTACCAACTGAGCAGACTTAATCCAGAAATATAAAATGCTCCAAAACTGAGCATCAAGTTGGTTCTCAGAAAGTTTTGGATTTTATAGTTTTGGATTATAGGTGCTCAGAATAGAACATGATTTACCACCATTTCTTTAATTAATCCACTCAATTAATGAAATATTTCAGTATTACTGAAAATGTGCCCCTTTAAACTTTTTTAAAAAAATAAAAACATTCTTAAAAAGGCTTTATACTAACTACTTCCCACCTTTTCTAATGACTCTTTAAAAAACCTGAACTACTGCATTCATCAACTTGATACTCACATCTTGATTATATTCCAAGAAGACATGGAAATTTAGATCTTTTCTCAAAATAGGATGTGCTGCCACACGACATAGGAACACTTCATGCATTGCAACTGTCTTCTTGAATATTGCCAAATATTCACTAGAACAACACACAAAATTAAAGGCAAAAAACTATCAACTAGAAAGTCATCTGCAATAAATTTTTTCAGGAAATACTTTGGATTATTCTAAAAGCAAAATCAGGAATACAAAATACAATTCATGTAAACAAAGGTTTTAATTGAACTGTTAATTAAATATATAAAACACAGCCCTAAAAAAGACTTCATGCTGGTTAATAGTATTTATTATATCTAAATGTTAATATTTTTAAATTTTACAAACTTTTCTCACTATGCAAGTTGATGTTAAAGGTCTATGGGGGTGTTTATTTTTACCTCCAGAGAAATTATGATATAACCTTAGGTTTCAATTTTTACTACTGATTTTAATTTTAAATACCTTAGTACAAAACATACCAAAATCCAAACCTCAGCATATTTTCAATGTTAATCATTATTTTCATCTAATGACCCAAACACACAAGAAACACACCATAGACTGGTTTTTGCCATTACACTGAAGAAATGTGTTTAAGAGATTTTAATATCACCATCAATGAATCCTAGTGAACATATAGTAATACACGTCAGTTTGAGGGAAGGAAAACACTCAAAAAGCCCAATATTCTTGCTTCAACTACGTGCAAGAAGGATAAGTTTTACATACCAGCAAACCAGCAGGATCAATGTTGGGAGAAGTTTGATCTCTGTGAGGGTAGTCATTCAGTGAAGACAAAAAAGAAGGATGCAGAGGATGGAGGTAGCAGTAGAATAAACCCAAGGTTCTGTTATCCAACCCCTAACCAGACCACAAAAGAATCATGATCAGGGCCACTGGAAAATCACAGATTCTCCAATATTATTATGCTTTCCTAATTTTCAGTTTTCAATCTTATAAACTTTAAAAATGTTTGCTATCAGATTATTGCTTGCACCCATACTGACAGAATAATTAAAATATCTGTCACTTTATACTTTGACAAAGAAGATCTATTTGGATAATTTTTCTTTTCAAAAGAGTTTATGTAGCTATTCTGAAGAGGAGTCTAGTAGCTCTATAAATATATGCTTGAAAACTGAAACTCAGTGGAAGAGAAGAAAAAGAAATGCAAGAAGAGAAATGACCATAAAAAAAAGATATGGAAGTGACAATAAAGCAAGGACAATTATTTCCTTGTACAACTCTCAAAATAGAAATAATTTAGAAACTCCAAAGCATAAATGTTCAATAAAAGGGGAAAAACTGTATTTTTAGCAAATAAGCTAAAAATGAAATTTAAACTATCACAATTTTCCAAGGACTTAACACATTAATAGTGTATATAGAACCAATAGTTAATGAAAAACAATTCTAAACTATTCTCTGGTTCCTTTGCTTCTATTCTTTTCCTTTTGGTCAGAAGTCAAAGGCAGAGAAAAGGAGAAGAAAACTATTACATGTCAAAAAAAAAAAAGAAGAAGAAGAAGAAGAAAGTGCTCAACACTTTCTATGAGAAACAGAAGTTTTAGTATTATACACAAGTTGAAAAAAAGAGAACCAGATTGGAAATGACTATGGCCTTGTGAAAAAAGATATACATTCTGCTTTAAAACATCATGTTCCCTTTCTACTATTGTTTACAAGCTTTTGGATCCTCTGTTTATAATTTCCAGAGTTTATTTAAAACAGTAATTTTACAAGGGAGACAATGATTCTATAATTTTCCCGTAGGCTCTGATCATGATCATTAACACTAGTTGTGTGACTTAAACTTGCATCTTTCAGAGTCACAATGGTAAATGATTAAAAGAATGGACTATCAGCACAAAAAAAGGCATTAACAAACACAACTAACAAAACAACAACAGAAAACATCACATACGCTTCCAGTTCCTGTTTCATCTTTGTGAATTCTTCCTTTGTCATTGACCCTTCTCCTTCTCCAAGCTTCTGTAGTTTTTCCCTTGAAGCATCAAAATCAGGTCTTGGTGGTGCTGGTGGAATCTATAATAAAAGTAAATCACTTACTTTAAGGGACTATCATTTCTTTCCACACTGTACCACTGCCACCATAAGACGGTGTCTGGGAAACTTAAAGGTATCCTGAATGAACTGAACACTGTAAACTATCACATTCAGATTGGAGAACTTCATTAGTTTTCAGGGATTTTGTTTGTTTTTGTAGTACTGGAATTGAGCCCAGAGTCTCACACTTGCTAGGCAAAGCACTAAGCTACATCCCTAATCTTTCTTATTTTTATTGGGACAGGTTGTTGCTGGCCTCTAATTTGTAATCTCTCTGCCTCAGCTCCCGAGTAGCTAGGATTACAGGTCTGTACCACCATGCTGTGCTTCCAGAGCTTCACTAATTTTAGAAATTAAGATCCTTGAAGTCCTTTACACCAAAAACATAACAAAAACATAGCATAACACTACTTTCTGGTTTTACAATTGTTCTCAAACTTCCATCTGCAGACTCCTACACAGCAACCCAGAATCCTCAAATTCCTATGTGCTCTAAGCTCTGACTACAGACTGAATAAATGTATACAGTAAATATATATGCCATTTTTGTAAAGGCATGATTAAATACAAATATGATTTTTATTTTTTGTTGGTTTTTTCCCACTTTTAAAAAATTGGTCCATTAAAATGAATACAAACAACAATAAGTGTTGGCAAGGATGTGGGGAAAAAGTTACAATCATACACTGCTGGTGGGACTGCAAATTGGTGCAGCCAATATGGAAAGAAGTATGGAGATTTCTTGGAAAATTGGGAATGGAACCACTATTTGACCCAGCTATCCCTGTCCTCAGTCTATACCCAAAGGACTTAAAAACAGCATACTACAGGGACACAGGCACATCAGTGTTTATAGCAGCACAATTCACAATAGCTAAACTGTGGAACCAACCTAGATGCCCTTCAACAGATGAATGGATAAAGAAAAAATGTGACATATATACACAATGGAATATTACTCAGCAAGAAAATAAAATCATGGCATATGTAGGTAAATAGATGGAGTTAGAGAAGACAGTGCTAAGTGAAGTTAGCCAATCCCAAAAAAACAATGCCAAATGTTTTCTCTGATATAAGGAGGCTGAGTCATAGTGGGGTAGGGAGGCAGAGCATGGGAGGAATAGACAAACTCTAGATAGGGCAAAGGAGTGGGAGGGGAAGGGAGTGGGCATGGGGTTAGAAATGATGGTGGAATGTGATGGACATTATTATCCAAAGTACATGTATGAAGACATAAATTGGTGTGAGTATACTTTGTATACAACCAGAGATGAAAAATTGTGCTCTATATGTGTAATATGAATTGCAATGCATTCTGCTGTCACATATAAATAAAAAAAATTTAATTTAAAAAAAATGGTCCATTATAATTGTACTTATTGATGGGATTGGTTGTTACATATTCATACATGCACACAATTTACAATATAACAATATAACTTGGCCAATATCAATTCCCAGCATTTCAATTAAGTTTTGTAGATGGACACAATACCTTTATTTATTTATCTTTATGTGGTGCTGAGGATAGAAGCCAGTGCCTCACACACGGCTAGGTGAGCACTCTACCACTGAGCCACAACCCCAGCCCCTCAATTAAGTTTCTTTTTTTTTTTTTTTAGAGAGAGAGAATTTTTTTTTAATATTTATTTTCTAGTTTTTGGTGGACACAACATCTTTGTTTGTATGTAGTGCTGAGGATTGAACCCAGGCCGCACGCATGTCAGGTGAGCGCGCCACCGCTTGAGCCACATCCCCAGCCTCTTTTTTTTTTAATATTTATTTTTTAGTTGTAGTTGGACAATATCTTTATTTTACTTATTTATATATATATTTTATTTATTTATTTATTATATATATATATATATATATTTTTTTTTTTTAATTGTCTATGGACCTTTATTTTATTTATTGATACGCGGTGCTGAGAATTTAACCCAGTGCCTCACACATACGGGACAAGCGCTCTGCCACTGAGCCACAATCCCAGCCCTATTTATTTATTTTTTATGTGGTGCTGAGGATCGAACCCAGGGCCTCACACATGCTAGGGGAGCACTCTACTGCTGAGCCAAAACCCCAGCCCTCAATTAAGCTTTTTAATTAATGGGTTCGTAGTAGTTTTATACTACATGTATTTTCTAAATTAACAAATACTAAAAATATTATCCAGCAGGAAATGTTTAAAAGGATTCTGGATTAGAGGAATTTACCAGAAGCAAAAAGATTCTTTTAAAAAGCTAACAAACTAAAAATAACAAAAAAAAGAAAAAAATTAATAAGATAAATTAATGACTAAACTCATTCTATTTATCCATAGGTGAAGCAGATGAATAAGGTAAAACATGTAATGTAAAAACCTTTAAAAACATGTAAGGTCTAGAAGAGATATACCACTCAAGGTAAAGATATAAAAAAAATTATCTTAAGAGGAATGGCCGACAAATAACAATTAAGGGCACAATGATGAAAAGCTAAAGAAAGGAAGTGGAACAAAAGGAAGAAAAGTTAAATTGAGAACTGCTATAAAGGCTGGGGATATAGCTCAGTGGCAGAACATTTGACTAGCATGCATGAGGCCCTGGGTTTGCTCCCCAGCACTGCTAAAAAAACAAAACAAAGACCTACATGAAAAAGATTACACCTTGGCTGGGCGTGGTGGCACACGCCTGTAATCGCAGCTGCTTGGGAGGTGGAAGCAGGATGACCACAAGTTCAAAGCCAACCTCAGCAATTTAGTGAGGCGCTAAGCAACTCAGTGAAACCCTGTCTCTAATAAAATAAAAAATAGGGCTACGGATGTGGCTCAGTGGTTGAGTGCCCCGAGTTCAATCTCTGGTAACCAAAAAAATAAAAGATTACACCTAGGGTCAGAAAGTTATCAAGTACAGTTCAACACACATTCTCCAAGCATCTAGTATATACATACTAGGCATAATGCTGTGCAACAGGTATATAAAGATAAATAAATAAGTCTTAGTCTTTGAAGAGCCTATGGAAGAAAAAAAGAAAAACGTACCATCACACAAGAAGGTAGGGGTAAAAGGTAGAACTAGAATGAGAAAAGAAAAATGTATACTGGTCATTCACCAAAATCTAAGGTATTAAAAGGAACAAATGACTGAAAATGAGTGGTGGTTCCAAGAACAGAGATGGAATCGGGTCACAATGATTTTAGAAAAAATCTAATCAAATTAAATTTCACAAATCTAAGTGTGGTCAAAAGCTGAGGCATAATAACCATTGATTATTGATGATAACACCTTAAGGAGGCTTCCAAAAGTAAATACCTATCCACTTAAGGGTTCAAAGCCAGTATGATTTATAAAATCCCTTAATTAATTTCTAGGACAAACTCATTTCATTTCTAACAGAAAGAATCTAAGTTTAAATGAGGAAGCATAACATATTCCCACAGATCCAAACAGGACAACTCAAGATAAAAGATGGTAACCCAGTTTTGTAACAAAACTGGGAAATTTTTAAAAATCACATCAGTGCTAGGCACAGGGGCACATGAATGTAATGCCAGCAACTCAGGAAGCTAAGGCAGGAGGATGCCAAGTTCAGAGTCAATTTGGACAACTTAGTGAGAACCTGTCTCAAAATAAAAGAAAAATAAAAAGGGCTGGAAATAGAGCTCAGTGCCCCAGGGTTCATCACCAGTATCCCTGTCCCCCAAATAAATAAAATAAAATAATAAAAAATCTTATCATTTACTAAAAATGCTAAAAGACTGCAATAGAGAAGAGTATACAAAATGCTCTTAAAAATGGGATTTAAATAAAACCTCAATACTTACAATATATCCTGCATAGTCTTCATTTTCAACGAAGGAATCATGAAGCCAGATAAATTCTTCATGTTGTCGAACAACAGAAAACTCGTTCTGTTTAAAATTTGGCAATGAACTCTGCAAAGACAGATTCTTTTTGAATAAAAGTCAAAATTACACTAACAACTTTTGATAAACAATACATCTCAATTCTTTAAAAATCAGTCTTAGCTGGGCACAGTGGAGCACACCTATAATCCTAGCAACTTGGGAGGCTGGGATAACAAGTTCAAAGCGAGCCACAGAAACTTGGTGAAGCCCTAAGCAACTTAGCAAGATCCGGTCTCAAAAGAATAAAATAATACAGTCGGGCCTAGTGCACACACCAGCTTGGGAGGCTGAGACAGGAGGATCACAGTTAAAGCCAGCCTCAGCAAAAGCAAGGTGCTAAGCAACTCAGTGAGACCCTGTCTCTAAATAAAATACAAAACAAGGCTGGGGATATGGCTTAGTGGTTGAGTGCTCCTGAGTTCAATCCCTGGTACCAAAAATAAAATAATATATAAAAAAAGGCTATGGGGGTAGGGTTGTGGCTAGCGGTAGAGTGCTCACTTGGCATATGTGAGGCCCAGGGTTCAATCCCCAGTACCACATATAAATAAATAAAATAAACATATTAAAAAAAAAAGACTGGGGATGTGGCTTAATGGTTAAGCACCCCTGGGTTCAATTTCAGTACCAAAAATAAATAAAAATTAGTCTTATGTGAAAGACTACCAGTGACATTAAACTCTAGTATGAAAACTCCAAGACACTTAGTCAAATTTATCCTCAGATCTTTGGGAAATGTTGACAGGCTGGTTTTTTTTTTTTTTTTTTTTTATCTTTTATTGATTTTATTTTTTTAAATACATGACAGCAGTGGAATGCATTACAATTCTTATTACACATATAGAGCACAATTTTTCATATCTCTGTATATAAAGTATGTTCATGCCAATTTATGCCTTTATACATGTACTTTGGTTTTTTTGCATTACAATTCTTAATAACATATATACCACAATTTTCATCTCTCTCTCTGTATATAAAGTATGTTGACACCCAATTCAAGTCTTCATACATGTACTTTGTTTGTTTTTTTTTTCTTTTTTCTTTTTTTTTTTTTATTGTTGGTTGTTCAAAACATTACATAGTTCTTGATATATCATCTTTCACACTTTGCTTCAAGTGGGTTATGAACTCCCATTTTTAGCCCATATACAGATTGCAGAATCACATCAATTACACATCCATTGATTTACATATTGCCATACTAGTGACTGTCATGTTCTGCTACCTTTCCTATCCTCTACTATCCCCCCTCCCCTCCCCTCCCCTCCCCACCCCTCTTCTCTCTCTGCCCCCTCTATTGACCTTCATTTCTCCCCCTTGTATTATTTTTCCCTTTCCCCTCATTTCCTCTTGTATGTTCTTTTGTATAACCCTGAGGGTCTCCTTCCATTTCCATGCAATTTCCCTTTTCTCTCCCTTTCCCTCCCACCTCTCATCTCTGTTTAATGTTAATCTTCTTCTCATGCTCTTCGTCCCTACTCTGTTCTTAGTTACTCTCCTTATATCAAAGGAGACATTTGGCATTTGCTTTTTAGGGATTGGCTAGCTTCACTTAGCATAATCTGCTCTAGTGCCATCCATTTCCCTGCAAATTCTATGATTTTGTCATTTTTTAATGCAGAGTAATACTCCATTGTGTATAAATGCCACATTTTTTTAATCCATTCGTCTATTGAAGGGCATCTGGGTTGGTTCCAAAGTCTTGCTATTGTGAATTGAGCTGCTATGAACATCGATGTAGCAGTGTCCCTGTAGCATGCTCAATTGACAGGCTGTTATTATCTTTTTTTTTTTTTTCAAAGAAAGAGTGAGTGAGAGAGAGAGAGAGAGAGAGAGAGAGAGAGAGAGAGAGAGAGATTTTTAGTGTTTATTTTTTAGTTTTCGGCAGACACAACATCTTTGTTTGTATGTGGTGCTGAGGATCGAACCCGGGCCGCACGCATGCCAGGCGAGCGCGCTACCGCTTGAGCCACATCCCCAGCCCTGTGTTATTATCTTATACTGCTACCATTAATTACCTACTGAGGTAAAACAAGCAGAACAGGGAAGGTGGACAAAAGGAAGAGAAAGAAAGGGATGATACAAGGGAATAAAAACTAAAATAAAAATTATTCTATTGATATTTATAAAACTCAACTATTCAAACAAACAAAAACAGATCTACAATCTGATAATGTGTCCAACTGCAATAGAATGATAATTTGAAGCCAGGTGCTATCGTATAAACATGTAATCCCAGCTACTTGGGAGGATAAGATAGCAGGATCACAAGTTCAAGATCAGCCTGAATAACTTAGCAAGACATTTTTATTTATTTTTTAAAAAATAAAAAAGAGACCTTCCCTCAAAATCAAAAAATAAAAAGGGCTCAGGATGTGACTCAGTGGTAAAACATCCTGGATTTAACTGCTACTACCAGAGAAGGAAAAAAAAAAAAAGAATGTGTAGGATAGCAATCTAACTGAAGGAACAACAACAAAATTTGAAAGTAAAATTATACTAAAAAATAGATAAAAACCTACACATAATTAAATTTGTATTATATGTAGGCTCTATGATTATGTCTTAAAATGTTCATCTTTAAAAAAGTACATTTCGGGGGGCTGGGGATGTGGCTCAAGCGGTAGCGCGCTCGCCTGGCATACGTGCGGCCCGGGTTCGATCCTCAGCACCACATACAAACAAAGATGTTGTGTCCGCCAAGAACTAAAAAAAATAAATATTAAAAAATTAAAAAAAAAAATAAAAAATAAAAAAGTACATTTTGGGGCTGGGGTTGTGGGGCTCAGTGGTAGTGCACTTGCCTAGCATACGTGAGGCACTGGATTCAATTCAGAGCACCACATACAAATAAATAAAATAAAGGTCCATCAACAACTAAAAAATAATAATAAATAAATAAAAGTACATTTCACCGAGTGCGGGGGTGCCTGCCTGTATTGCCAGAGGCTCTGAAAGCTGAGACAGGAGGATCCCAAGTTCGAGGTCAACCTCAGCAACTTAGCAAGACCCTGTGTCAAAATAAAAACCAAAAAGGACTCAAAAAAGGCTTCAGATATAGCTCAGTGGTAAAGTGCTCCTGGGTTAAGTCCCCAGCACCAGAAAACAAAAGTAAAAAGTATACTTCTTGACAGGAGTGGTGGTGTACACCTATAATCCTAACTACTAGGGTGGCTAAGGCAGGAGGATCCCAAGTTCTAGACCATTCTAGACAATTTTATGAGATTCCATCTCCAAATTTTTAAAAGGTTTGGAATATAGCGCATGGTGAAGCACATGCCTAGCATATGTAAAGTACTGAGTTCAATCCCCAGTACCCACTCCCCAAAAGTAATTTCCATAAAACTTCTTTTGTTAAAATAGCAGAAATTGTAAACTATGTCCCTTTCCAATTGAGTTCAAACTCCAAGTTCACATCGGCATATTATTATATTTTTTCTTTTTTTTTTTTAATAGGTTTTAAAGTTGGGTTCAAACCAACAAATTCATACATGCATGGAATTCAATTTTAGTTTATAATCTCCCCCTTGTCCTCCCCCTTATGTAAGTAACATTAACACAACAAAAGACAAAATATAAAAATCCCACTTACTTTTGTGTGAACAGTGAATTTTACTTTATCCCTCTCACTAAGAGCATCAGAAATGTCCACTTGCAGCGCAGCATCACTTTGAAGATCTACATTTATTGCTTTAAGCTAGAAAAAGAAAATAAGTAATATCTTAAAGAAATTCTGTGTGCTTTTATATAATTTTATTCTTCTTCCAGACAACAGGATAATGGGGGGAAAAAAACACATACACACAAAAGAATCGCAAGTATAAAAAAGTATAAAAGCTCATTTTATCTACATACATAGTTAGAGGCAGGTGTTTTAGGTAAATGGTATTTTCATTCTACACCATTCAACTAAACTCTGCATTGCATTGAGTCGCTAAACTAACCATGATCCATCATAGTTTCACCCCAAAAGAAAAAACTATTTTCCAAAGGGTACACTCATACATTCTTGGTGGGACTATAAATTGGTACAATCACTCTGGAAAGCAGTATGGGGATTCTTCAAAAAACCAGGAATGGAACCATTTGATTCAGTATTCCACTCCTCGGTAAATATCCAGAGGATTTAAAATCAGCATCCTAAAGTGATGCAGCCACATCAATGTTTATAGCAGCACAATTCACAATAGCTAAGTGATACAGCCAACATAGGTGCCCTCTAACAGATGACTGGATAAATAAAATGTGATACACACACACACACACATAATGGAGTATTGCTCAGACATAAAGAATGAAATTATGGCATTTGCCAGTAAAGGGATGGATCTAGCAATTATCATGTTAAGTAATCCTAAGAAACCAAATATTTTCTCTGATATGTGGAAGCTAAAGGGGTAGGGATAGAAGTTCACTGGAGTAGACAAAGAGGAATGAAGGGAAGAGAGGAAGGATGGGAAAAGGAAAGAGGGTGGGATGAATCTGACATAACTTTCCTATGTACATATGAATACACCACAGTGAATCTCACCATCATGTACACCCACAGAAATTAATTTAAAAAATAATAACCACAGGTAAACGACAAAAGGATCAAAAAAGGGAAAGGAACAGTGGTGGGGAAAGAGAAGGGGAGGAAGAGATACTGGAGTCTGAATTTGAACAAGATGTATTCTAATAATTATTTATAATTATAATTTATAATTATATCAAAATGGATTATGTCTTGTAAAACTAAAAAGAACCAATTAAAAATAAATTAATTAATAAAAGAAAACCATTTTCTAGAAGATGGTCCATTAAATTTCAAGTGTTCTAAACTTAAGGAATATAATAAAAGAAAAATAATAAAAAGAATGATGAACAATTTTAACTCTTACTGCTTACTATATTCCTTACTGTTTAAAAATACATAATAAAACTATTAGATATATTATATATAATATATGTAAAGTACTATGAAAAATACTAACATAGTAAATATTCAATAATAAAGCTATAAGCTACAGTGCATTTGAAGAATTGGGTAAGTTCCCTATTTAGAGTTTTCATTTGCCTATCTAAGATAACTTTTACACTTACTTGTTTTTTTGAGGTGTTGGGGATTGAACTCAGGGCCTTATGCATGCTAGGCAAGTATTCTACCACTGAGCTATATCCCCAGTCCCTACAATACCATAATTCTACTTATAATTCTTAAATTTCATTCATGTTTACTCTTTAACAAAAAGTATTGTAATATGTTTGGGTAGAGACTTAACAAGAGTCAAATACACTAAAAAAACAAAATAAAATCTTAGCCAGCTACAAGATATAAAATATATAGTCTAATTAACTAGCCTGTTTCAAATATTCTAGTTGTAAAACCCAGGACTTGGTAATCTCATCTAGCTACTAGCTTCTCAAATTTTAATTACAATGTAAGTGAAAAAAAAAATGTTAGAAGAAAAACTGTTAATGCACATTGCTCTTATTTATTTATTTTAAATGCATACAATAGTTGGGCAAGGTGGTACATGCTTATAGTCCCAGCAGATGGGAAGCTGAAGCAAGAGGATCATCTGAACCTAGGAGTTCAAGATGAGTCATCCACTATCTCAAAGAGACTTACAAAAAATACACCAAAATTGTGAAAAAGCAGATTTTCTCTATATATTCTCTATTCTCCCAATTTTCCACAATGTTGCATGTATTCCTATTATAAATAGGGAAAAAAGTCTTTGTATCAGAAATCTAAAACAATTAATTTGAGCTGGGCATAGTGGCACAAAACCTGTAATTCTAGCTACTCAGGAGGCTGAATTCGGAGATCACAAGTTTGAACCCAGTCTGGATAACATGGAGAGACTCCATCTCAAAAAATATATATTAATTTCATAAAATTCCTTATTTAAATATGGCTTAAAAAGTACCTTATACTCATTTAATTTTGCAACTGGTTCTTACATGAAATGCTTTTTAAAAAATATGTTTTAGATGTTGACGGAACTTTATTTTATTCATTTATTTATATGTGATGCTGAGACTCGAACTCAGTGCCTCACACATGCTAGGCAAATGTTCTATCACTGAGCCACAACCCCAGCCCATGTAACATGCTTTTTAAAAATAAGTAATAATCCCAACAACTCAACAGGATGAGGCAGAAGGATGGCAAGTTTGAGGCCAGCCTCAGCAAGACCCTATCGTAAAATTAAAAATAAGAAAAGGGGCTAAAAATCTAGTTCAATGGCAGAGCACCATGTTTTAATTCCCAGTAACACCAAAAAAATTAATAAAACATAAATAAGTGCTATTACATAAAATACAAATTAAAATTCACAAAAGAAATAAATTATTGTAAGTTGCTGTGATACTATATATGATAGCCTTTTTTTAAAAAGAGAGAGAGAGAGAGAGAGAGAGAGAGAGAGAATTTTTTTAATATTTATTTTTAAATTTTCGGCGGACACAACATCTTTGATTGTATGTGGTACTGAGGATAGAACCCGGGCCGCATGCATGCCAGGCGAGCCCGCTACCGCTTGAGCCACATCCCCAGTCCCATATGATGGCCTTTAATAAAAACTTTATTGATAACTTTAATAAGTTAAACTTCAATAAGCAAACATATCATTCAAAGTTCATATATATAGCTCAGTTGATATAGCTCAGGTCTTGGATTCAATTCCCTACACACACACATACACCACAACTGATACTGTAAACTTACACATAAAAACAACATGTTCTAAAAAAATCATTATTGTTCTCAATGCTACATGTAGCTCATTATCTGATAAATAATTAAACGTTTCTTTTTCACTTTCCAACTATCTTGTTACCCCTTCAATATTAGAAACATTTGAGAGTAATTTGTTCCTTGTTTTTTTTTTCTATTTAGTTTTATCAGGTATTCATATTGTCCTTTTCAACCTCTTCCTCAACCCTTTATCTTAGTTCTAGTTTAAGAAATCTGTTTCCGGGGGCCCGGGGTTGTGGCTCAGTGGTAGAGCACTTGCCTAGCATGTACTAGGCACTGGGGTCGATTCCCGGGGAACCACATTAAAAAAAAAAATAAACAAATAAAATAAAGGTATTTAAAAAAAAAAAAAAAGAAATCTGTTTCCTTTTTATTAAACCTCATTTCTAGGCCACTTTTTAGGTATTTACTGTGCTAGGCTGAGTAATGTTACCCTGTACGGCAAAAAAGGACTTTGCAGATGTGATTTAAGTTTTTTGTTTGTTTGTTTGTTTTTGGTTTTTTTTTAATACCAGGGATTGAACTCAGGGGCAATCAACCACTGAACCACATCCCCAGCCCTATTTTGTATTTTATTTAGAGAGAAGGTCTCACTGAGTTGCTTAGTGCCTCACTTTTGCTGAGGCTGGCTTTGAACTTCTGATCCTCCTGCCTCAGCCTCCCCAGCCACTAGGTCAATTAAGGTTTTTTGTTTTTAAGAGAGAGAGAGAGAGAATTTTTAAATATTTTTTAGTTTTCGGTGGACACAACATCTTTGTTTGTATATGGTGCTGAGGATTGAACCCGGGCCACACGCATGCCAAGCAAGCGCGCTACTGCTTGAGCCACATCCCCAGCCCCAATTAAGGTTTTGACACAGGGAGAGTATGCTGTTTTATCTAGTTAGACCTTAAATGCAATCACATATTCCTTTATAAATGGGAGGCGAAGAGAAATTTGTCACACACGATAACTTCAATAATTAACAACTAGGGCTGGGGATGTGGCTCAAGCGGTAGCGCGCTCGCCTGGCATGCGTGTGGCCCGGGTTCGATCCTCAGCACCACATACAAACAAAGATGTTGTGTCCGCCGAAAACTAAAAAATAAATATTAAAAAAATAATAATAATAATTAACAACTAGAAGCAGAGATTAAAAGTAATGTACTACAAATCAGATTTCTGGCAACCACTAGAAGCTCAAAGAAGCAGCAAATTCTTCGCTTCCACCTCTGGAGGACACCTTGATTTCAGCTCAGTGACTAATTTCTTACTTCTAGCCCCCAGAATTGTGAGTGAATAAATTTCCATTGTTTTAAGCCACCAAGTTTGTGGTAATTTGTTAAACAGCTACAGGACACTAGTGCATTTATCATATAGTTTCTGGAATAACAACACTGTTGGCATTTCTCCACTTCTTTATGTTTTCATTGCCTAGTCTAGCATTTCGCAAACACAACTTAACCTGACACTTATTAAAAATACAAAACCTGGGTTGGGGTTATAGCTTGGCAGTAGAGTGCTTGCCTAGCATGTGTGAGGCACAGTGTTCAATTATCAGCACTGCGTATAAATAAATAAGTAAAATGATCCAACTAAAAAAAAAATACAAAACCTAGAGTAAAGGGCCTTAAAAATCTGTAGTTAGAAACACTGGCAGAGATGTTTCAGCATTTTCTATGTCTTCATGGTGTGTCAAAACTGGTAACATTTTCTTTTTAATGATTATATCAAATAGATTTGCCAGATTTCATGTTTATGAGTACAATTTTCATTTGATTTTTACTACTGTTCTGTCAGATGAAAATACACCCATCAGGGATTTTTACATCTGAGTGGCTGCCAGTTATTCTTCTAATTTAAGATTACTTCAAGTTATATTTCTCTTCCATATGAAATACAGTACCTTTTCCTTTTGATAACTTTTTAATTATAACTTTTATCTATATAAAATATCCCCAGTGTTAGACACTTAA